ATCTCTCTCTCTCTCTCTCTGCTGTTCTCTCCTTCCTTCCCCCTCCATAACACACTAAATAAATATCCAACCTCAGTCTGCATGGCGTGCCTATCCATGTCTGCTTTCAGGACCTGCTGCTCCCTGCCTGCCACCACATAGCCCTCTGCCTGCTGCTGCTCGGGGACCTGCAATCTTTCTGCCACTGCAGCTACTGGGGGATCTGCAGCAGTTTTTATTAATCCATTACAGCCTCCTCATTCAACTACATATTCACTAGTTTTTTTTGTTTTGTTTCAATGGTTTCCTTCACTGCCTAAGTTTGGCTGTCCTGGAACTTCTTCTGTAGAGCAGGCTGGCCTTGAACTCAGAGATATGCTTGCTTTTGTTTCCTGAATTCTGGGATTAAAGGCATGTGCTACCATGCCTGGACCTAAGCTGTTCTTTAATTCATTTTTACAAGTTAGAAGTTTAACTGGGTGAGGTCTTGCTCTGAGATCACCATTCCCTTTATTCCATTTCTTAATCTGTTTATCTCCTGAACTTAGCTTCATTCTGCTCCCTGGTGCCCCTTTTCTCCTCAATCTGTACATATTGTATTTTTCCTTGCTTAGCTTGCTCCTTTTCATTATAGATATTCATGAGAGTGACCATTAATGACCACACAACAGAGTGAACACTAGGCTGGTTTGAGATTTCCTCTGCCAAAGGAATTAATCCAAACCTCTTCACTTTAGCCTCGGGCAGACTCTTTAGACAGGGCAATAAGCGGCCACATTCTTTGTGAAAATATCACAAGAACAGTCTGTAGGCCACATAGTAAAATTCTTCTCCTCTGAAACCTCTTGAGCCAGGCTCCCATAGCTGAAAATCACCCTCAGCACCAGTGCCTTCCATGCTCCTACTGGTATGACCCATTATGCAGCATTTAAAGCATCCCCCTGCTTTCCCAAGCCAAACTTCCTCCAAACAAAACCATAGTTAGGCCTATCACAGCAATACCTCAGTCCCTAGTACCAACTTCTGTCTTAGTTGGGGTTTTTATTGCTGTGAAGAGACACCATGACCACAGCTCCAATATTTAATTGGGGCTAGTTTACAGTTGCAGAGTTTTAGCCCATTATTATCATAGCAGGACGCTGCGGCATGCAGGCAGACAAAGTGCTGCAGAAGGAGATGAGAGTTCTATGTCTTGATCCACAGGCAGCAGCAGGAGACTGCGCCCACACTGGGTATATTTTGAGCATAGGAGACCTCAAAGCCCACCCCCACAGTGACACACTTCCTCCAATTTAGCCACACCTCCTAATAGTGCCATTCCCTATAGGCCAAGCATTCAAACACATGAGTCTATGGGCCATGCTATTCAAACCACCACAGTATGAGTGTCTGCATGAGTCTCTATACACCCTAGGAGGCCAGCAGGTATTGTACCCCTGGAACCAGAGTTATGGGCAGTTGTGAGCCAGCTGATACTGGTGCTCAGCATCAAACCTGGGTCCTCTACGAAGGTAGCAAGCACTCCTAACTACTGAGCCAACTCTCCAACCCTCTACCTTAGTTTTTGAGACAGGGACTCTCTCGGGCTTCCAGCTAGACTGGCTGGTCAGCAAACCTTAGGGATCCTCTTGCATCTGCACTCCAAGCACTGGGATTCTAGGGGTGCTCCGCCATGCCACGCTTTATGTGGGTGCTTATGTTTGTGCCTTCTCACCCGAGCTGCCCCCATCCGTGTGATAGTCATTTCTAAGTGTACAGTTTGGATTCATCCACACTCTTCTGTAGCCACTGCCGCCTGCCATCTCTAGGACTTTCTCATCTTCTCCAGCTGACACCGGACACTGAGTACTACTCTTCCAGTCCCTGGGAACATTCATTCCTTCTACCTTGGGCTACGCAGGGTGCTTCACATAAACAGGACCATACAGTGTGTGTCCTTTTGTGTCTGGCCTTAGATTGGTGCCCTCAAGTTCATAAATCTAACAACCTATGCCAGAATTTTATTCTTTGTAGAGCGTGAATAATATTCAATACATTACTCTTGCAAAAGATGATTGGGGGAAAGCAATCCACTGAATGCCTTTGAGAATCTGCTCCGTTGAGGGCAAGGAGGAGCGGAGGACTCCCTGGAGTGGCCAGAATTTGTGGCTTTGTGATGGGAGCCACAGCTGAAGAGCTGACATGGAGGCAGGTGCCTGTAATCCAGTCCGGGATCTCGTCGGACTTCCCACTAGAGTTCCAGCCTCCCTGCACCGTGACCTGTGGACAAAGAACCTCAGCTGAGGGCTGTGACTCACAGGTGACCGAAGCCAGGCAGGGCCCCCGCACTTGGTCCTCGTGGCCCCTGCCATTCAACCTGGGTAGTGACCAGTTGTCTTGGAGTCCCTGCTGCCTTCTCCAGCTTGGGTCCCCAGGCTCTAGGGATGACCCAGTTGGCCCAGTGAGTAAGGCCCCTGACAATTCCTCCTTTCATAAGCCTCCTGCTGACTAATGCCTCTCAGCTGGGCTCATACTGGGCCCTTCCACTTTAAAACCAGGCCTGCCCTGGAGCTGACCCTGGAGGTTTCTCCCCTGGTGCTGCCCTCCTCCCGAGTTCCTCTTGTCAACCTTGACCTCTGTAGAACTCTCTCCTCTCTGGGCCTTGCTGCCAAGCTTTGGGCTGTCCCAGTGGTAAGAACTCCTTGCTGAGGGGCTCCATGGGCCCCGCCTTCCCAGTTGGTCATCCTTAGGACATGATGGCCAGCTGTTCACATCTGACTCCATTGAGGGGACCTCAGGCACTAGGCCAACAGGGGAACTCTTTCTGAGCTACACCCTAAGTTCCTTTTGGAAAGACATAGGCTCTGAAATGAGAGCTAAGCTTGAATTCTGTGTGTGAGGACGAAATAGAGGACGGGGTGGGGGTGGGAATGATTCTTCTCTACCAGAATGGACACAAAGCACCTCCGGAGAGCAAGCCATCCTGGCCTTGAGTGGAGGGTGACAGCCAACAGGGGAGCTAAGAAGCGGACCCGGGCAAGGCCATGCTGGTCAGGAAGGGTTGACCTGGACTTGTAGAACTGGGAAGGCTGTGGGTCTGAAGCTGAGCTGGGACAGTTGGTCCCATGGAAGGTAGGCAAATGGCAATTCTGAGGGCCCATGTCTCTCTTCCTGGAGCACACAGTATAAGACATCCAATGGCGGAGGAGATGGCTTGGGATAGACTCCAGTGACCGCCATGGCCTCTTCAATAGCTCGGTATGTTCTGCTGAGCGGTGGCGGGGGGGGGGGGGGGGGGGGGGGGGGGGGGGGGGGGGGGGGGGGGGGGGGGGGGGGGGGGGGGGGGGGGGGGGGGGCTGGGAGGAGGCGGAAACTTCCAGCCTGGGAGGCTATTACACTGGCTATGTGGCCACAGCTGAGTCACAGTCTCTGAGTGACGAGTCCTTATCTACAAAGGATGGCAGTTAGTCGTGAAGCCTTTGGCGCCCCCCCCCCCCAGCTCTGAGAGTCTGTAACTGCAGCCATCTTTAAAGATGCAAATCAGGGATGGTGAGCTGCAGACAGAGGCAGATGGTCAGGCCAGACGTTTTTCTCTCCAGTGTCCCATGTCAACAAGGTCTTAGGTGAATTCAGGCATTTGTTCATTTTGGTAGGTAGTCAGGGCAACTTCTGTGGGCTGGTGTTTCCAGCCTGCTCAAACAGTTCCCACCTCCAGCTCTAGTTCCTTCGGGGACAGCCTGGTTGCCACAGGACCTTCAAATCCACAGGTTCCCTGATACTCAGTGGTCTCTTCCCCCATCCTCCCACGCTCACCCAGGGTCTGGGGTTGTCATGCCTCGCGTGTGTCTTCCAAGGGACTGGCACGGAAACACGCTTCGGGAGACGCGTTTCCTGGCAGCGAGATGACATGAGCTAAGATGGCCGGGCAGACACATGATGTGCTCTGTGGGTAAGAGGTGACAGCTGCAGCCAGCAGGTAGCCCTACAGGTTTAATCTCATTCTAGAGCAGCCCCTCCCCCAGCTCCCCAGCACAGCCCTGGTTTGTTTCACCAAGCTGGTCGCCTATCCTCAAAAGTACACCGATGTACCTTTAGAACCTCTCTCTCTCTCTCTCTCTCTCTCTCTCTCTCTCTCTCTCTCTCTCTCTCTCTCTCGACAAATGCCTTTTCCCTCACCACTCTGCCCACAGCCTGGACAAAGTCCTGTGCAGAGAAGGTTCTGGAGATCCATGTGTGGTGCCTAAAGGAGTTTGAGAGGCAGCACAAAGCTACGCTTCAGAGAGGGTCGCAAGGCTAAGTCACAGTCACGCAGAGTCAACAGCTCCACTTTTTAAGAGCCTGGGATGTGTTTTTCAGCTATGACTGTCTAATCAATGGCTCTTTGCCCGTCACAGGGCTCCAAGCATCTGGACCTGGAACACGGATCTGTGTGGGTGGGATGGGAAGCTGCGCAGGCTGCCTGTGAGAATCAGTCTTTGTCTTCATCTCATATGCACCTGTCATCCCCAAACCTTCGGAAAACATCGTGACTTTTACCTTCCAAACCTCTCTGGGCCTGGGGGGATGGGGGTGCAGGCGGGAGCCCACAGAGCTGCATTCCAGCCATTCCAGCCTCCTGACAGCTCCTGGTACTGTAGCCACTGAGCCTTCAATGTCCAAAAATTCCAGCTGACTCATGCGTGGGTGAGCAAGGCCAATTCAGGGGGCGGGCTGGGGCTATCTCTGTCGAGGTCCCCAATTCAAAGGGAGAGCCGGGCATGGGGTGATAACCTGGATCTGAGTCATTTCTGTATGAATGACATTCAGGTGTCATTTGAGACGGTGACACGTGAAGCGTGACTGTGACCTCAGATCCCTGGATGGTTACCGCTCTTGTGGCCCCCTGCAAAGATGGTTGTGAGGAGAGGTTCCCAAGCAGTAGCAGTGGGGAGATGAAGCAAGAGTATGCAAATGAGCACTTTCCCTGACACACTGGAGTTGCTCAGCAGTGATGACCTGGATTGGGATGTCACCCCTTTGATGCAATGACGTGAGACCTGCTTCCGGGTGGGCAGGCGGGTGTGTAATCAGAGCTCACTTGGTCCCATGGGACGAAAGCCTGCCAAATTACATGGTGGTGGGAAGTCCCGGCCTGTTTTGGGATTCAGAATGGCATTTCTCTTTGAATTTCCCCATCAGACCAGAGTAGGGCAGCTGAGCCTCCCGTGCACAGAGGGCTGTGACCACAGACAGGGAACACGGCTGAGGGGAAAGGGCAGTGGCTTTTCTAGTGTCCACAACTCCAGATGGCTTTTTCTAGCGTTCCTCCAGATGGCTGATAACCAGATCCCTGCCAAGTTCCTCTTGCCTCTCCCCAGACTTGTCCGATGCCAAAGTGTTTCTCAAAGCGGGAAATACAGGGCTTTCGTCACTGCCTCGCCATGGCCTCACCAAGCCCCCAGCTTAGCCCTGCCTTCCAGTTGTCTTCCCAGGGAAGGTCTCAGGAGGTTTACTGTCCTGGGACCGTGGTGGGAGCCCAAGGCTTGGAAACGGGAGAGGATATGGAGGGTGAAATGTTACTGGGGTTTTCTTTCCCTGCCTACAGAAGACTCCCAAGAGGCCAACACAAAGGGACAGTAGCCTTTCCCAGCAGGCTAGCACTGGGGTAGAGAAACAACCAGTTCTGGGTTCACACTCTCACCCTGTCCCCAGCCCTAGGCCTTGTCCTCTCTCATTCTCTTAGGCAAAGTGGCCGTGACAATTGCCATCTCTGCGTTGTCTTGAGCACTGAGACGGCAGCATGGTGTCACACACTCAGAGAATGACACCTTAATTTTGTCCTACAGATGAGGGCTTGTTTAACTTTGCTGAACTTGTCACCTTCCAGACAGAGAACCTGAGGTCCAGAGGCAGTTGGTGGGAAGAGAACTCAGACATTGTTTCCATGCCTCAGCCAGTGTACCAGGTTAGCTCCAGAAGGAAGCCCGATAACTCAGGGAAGAAGTCTGGCCGTCTGCTTCAGACCCCTCGGGCGGCTCTCAGGGCTCCGGCCAAGAGCTGGTTTGGCTGTTGCTCTTCTTCTTTGTACCCACCAGCCTCAGTCCAGATGTTAAGGCAGCAGCCCTGGGAGCACTTCCAGGTTTTGCCTCTATGGGTCTCCTTCCCCAGAGCCTGCCTCTCTTTCCGGTTTTCCCCCAGTGGTCTCTGTAGCTTTGAACATGAAAACCTACAGTTCCAGTGCATTAGCAATCTATCAAACATAGTTTCTTTCTCAGGTCTTCAGAAGTGTCTCAGTTAGCCAGACTTTGCAAACGGAGAGGGCTGGAGTGTCTGGATAGCTTGTAGCATGCACCTTGGAACAGCTACAACACAAACTGCCCTTAGTGCTTTCCGCTTCCATCTCATTAGCTCCCAATCCCAGCATGCCCAGCATCCTGCAAACTGGGAGCCTGGGAAATTCTGGTGATATCTCTCTCCTGAGTACTGCTGGTGTGTGCCGCTTCCTTCATCGACTGATCCCATCTTCCTGACTCCATGAGACAGGTGCCCTTACCTCTTTTTCTGCTTGAGAAATGGAGACTCGGAAGGCCATGTGACTCACAGTGGCCACTGAGCTACTGTGCTTTCTCCACGATGGGTGGCTGGAGTGGCTCTGTGACCAGAGGCTGCTTATCTGTGCCCAGCCTGTGAGCTCGACTGTCACCTTGAAATGGAAACCCAGTCCTGTGAGAAGCCCTGGGCTCTGTGTTGTCATTAAAGAGAGGGCCAGGTCCTTCACTTACATATAGCCTTGTAAGGAGCACAGAGAGAATTGCTGACACCGTACATCTAACATAACAGAACCAGAAGGTATGTGTTAGTACACCTAGTGAGGGTGAACTTGCACCCGCAGATGAGAGTGTGTGTTTCCAGGGGGGAATGTAAGGACGAGCCCGTACATCTAACATAACAGAACCAGAGGTATGTGTTAGTACACCTAGTGAGGGTGAACTTGCACCCGCGGATGAGAGTGTGTGTTTCCAGGGGGGAATGTAAGGACGAGCCCTTACAGTTGCGTGAGGGTGTATGCAGGTACACATGTGCCCAAGGGTGTGAGGGCGAATGTGTGCACACTGATGGATGTGTGTAGGTGTAAACACATGGGCGTGACAAAGGGTGCATCTGGGTTACACAACATACATGTGCGCTGGGTAGAGACAAGGCAGGCAGACGATGGACAACGCGGCTAAGGCGGGCAGGACACTATCATCTCAAGACATTATTCACCTTTGACTTTTGAGATCTCCGTGGCGTAGAGCACC